CCATGAAACTATTAGGAGCATTTTATTATATAACCCTTTTTATTATTTAGCTTTCTCTTAATAAATCCTGTGCATCGCACGGGTCCCCACTAGTTTCTTTGTATTTGACAATCTAGTTATCCAAGTCTTGAAGAGCTGTGAAACGTTTGTCGAACTAGTTTCAACCAGTCATAGATGATGAAATCAATTAGAGCTTAGGAGTGACATCAATGTTTGCCTAAACAAAGGAGAAAATGATTGAGGAAAAGACGAAATGATAGAGAGGAAAGAAGAAAACGATCTAAGAAAATGATGAAGGCATGAAAAGCAGAAGAAAAAATGTGTAAAAAAATGAAAAGAATAGCATTACTCGTGCGATCGATCAGTTGGTGGTGCATTGTTGAAGAAGGAAGAGCAAAGCTATTGGAGAACAAGAGAAGGAGGTTCAGAAAATGATTGGTTAGGGATTTTTTTGTGCTAGGTGTTTTAAACCTAGGTTTCTAAAATCGAAATAGACAACAAACTGGTCAGGGTCCGGTTCCCGGGTTGAACAGTACAACTGTTTGAATCGAACAGACAACCCATTCTGACAAAAAAATGGCCAAACCGTTGAATGGTTCGAACGGTTCAATAGCTCGGGTCAGCGGTTTGCTGACCAAATCAATGGTTTTTGGAGAAATAACGGTTCTGGGTAAAACAAAACCGGTCACCTGACTGGTTCCTGGTTTTTTTTATCCGACCATTTGGTCCGATCCGATTTTGAAAACCGTGGTTTAAACATAAAATGATGTGAATGCCCTTTTCGCACGTGAAACATTTGCACACGTTTTTGTTTTTTTAAGAGCACTTTGTTGTGAGAATTGAAGGCATGAAAAAATCTCATCATTATATATATATATATATATATTATCTTCTAAAACAAAGCGGTCAAGAAATTTTCTCCTGTTTTTTAATATCTATCTAAAGAAACTTTCAATTAAAAATTCTAAGAATTATTTAAATATTCTAACAAAATTATATAATAACTTTAAAAACACAAAAAAATAATTTTATATTTTTATGAAATCTATCACGAAATTATGTACTAACAATTTAAACTATGCTTTTTCCAAATTATCAATTTAAATGCTTTTCAAATATTTAATAATATGTGATAGCTTTAAATAAATAAAATTCAAATAACAAAAAAATTTAAATATTTTATAAATTATTTAAATATTTAAATAAATAAATATTTATCATAACTATATTTTAAATAGTTAAAATAACGAAATTATCTAATAAATAATTTTATATTTTTACAAAATATATCACGAAATTATGTACTAACAATTTAAATTATGTTTTTCTAGATCATCAATTTAAATGTTTTTCAAACATTTAATAATATATAATAGCTTTAAATAAATAAAATTCAAATAACAAAAAAATTTAAATATTTTATAGATTATTTAAATATTTAAATAACTAGATATTTATCTTAACTATATTTTAAATAGTTAAAATAACGAAATTATGTAACAAATTTAAAAAATTTCTTTAAAGTAGAAAAATAACTATAACATAATATTGAAATTAATAATAATTTAATATATTACAAAATTAATAACGAAATTATGTAATAATAGTATAAATTATGATTTTATGGATAATTAAATTCCATAAATAACTAATATTTTAAAATTTAAATATTTTACATATTATTTAAGTATTTAAATAATTGGGTATTTTAAGTAACTTAATATTTAACATAACTAGATTTTAAATAGTTTAAATAAAGAAATTATGTAATAAATTTAAAAAATTTTGGAAAAGTAGAAAATTAATTATAACATAATATTGAAATTAATAATAATTTAATATTTTTACATAATATTGTAAATAGCTATTTCACTTATATCAAGTAATAATCCAAGAAAATAACTTTCAAAAAACTTAATATTTATTAATAATAATTTTAAACTCTTAATCTGTATTTATTATATAATTATATATTCTATAATTAATATTTATTGTATTTCAGTAATTATTTATTGTTTTTGTCATAAATATATTTTCAATGATTATGTATAAATTTATTTCATTTTGTTATTTAATAGAAAACTTTCAATAATCATTAGAGATTAAACTACTATTAGTGAAATTTTTAAATTTAATTTATTGTATTTTTTGTCTTTTTAACTATAACTTATTGATTAATATTTATTAGAGATTAAACTATTTATTGACTAAGTTCATATATTTTTAGTACTTATTGTATTTTTTCCATTATCAATATATTTTCAATAATTGTGTATTTTTGCTATAAATTTTGAATAATTATTGGATATTAAACTATTGTTATTTATCAGAGATGACATATTAATTTAGCTGAAATTATGAATGTTCATGAGTTGTTTCGGTTCGGATGTAARCTATTTGACCAACCAAATTGACTTAATCAGGTTGGGGAGTTGGTCAACTGAAACCAATAAACCTTTTGTAAAAACTGAMTCACTCAAGTTGTATCGGTTTGGGTCATTTTTTTGTTTGGTCAATCGTTCAAAAGATTTAAACTTTAAAATTAAATTTAATTTTAAAATTTTCTTGTGTGTCTCAAGTATTTACCTCTTCTTTTCTTATGGAATTTCGTTAGCTTATTCGAATCTTTATTTCTTCTTCACCCGTTTTTTGATATAGTATTCACTCAAACCAGCGAACACAGTAGGGGAGATATTCAGCGTCTTTTCACACCCAAGACGGTCCATTGATGGCAAAAAATCCCTAGAATATGGTTTCCCTAAATTAAAATGTCCAAATGAGCATAAAACAGGGAGACTGACCGGTAAATCTCTGCCCATTTTATGCATGGTTTTGCACGTCGTCGGCTTGTTTTCATGTCGGAATAACGCTGGCAGACATTATTCATGCCGGAAAACATTAATGGTTTTTCACTCGGTTTTGGATTTTGGATGAGCGGTAAAACACTCCCCTATTTCGGTTTTTGATGCTCCCATATTCTGTGAATGTCCAACCAAGCTCCGAGTCTCTGAAACTCCACTCTCTGCTGCGACTCATTGAGTGCTCTAATTTGATACTCGGTTAGTTTGGTAGGGGAAGAAAAGCTTTCACATAACTGTTCTGGGTGCTCTGCCCCTGTTTTGGGAATGTCCAGCCAAGCTTATTCGGGTCTTTGGCCGGCTCTTGGAACCTCTGTCCCATCCGGGTGGCATTCCCACACACGGCCTGGTCATTAGGACCGGTGAACTCCTAGAAAAAGCTTATAGTTCTCTGCCCGCATGAAGCAACCATCCAAGAAGATGCGATCCCCGTTGTAGGGGAAACACCGGGGAAGGATGGTACGGGCCTCAGCGTAGCACAATACACAGTCCAGCAAGGAAAGGTCCCATAGCATTTGGCAAGGCCGAAGTTAGCGTCAGGTCCTGAGCCCACGGCCGAGGTTCCGAAGCCAATAGTGCGCATTTGGTCCTGATCTCCATTTTCTTGAGAAAGAAGATGATGAACAGTGCATGTGGGTTCTGTTTCATTTTCTTGAGAAAGAAGTGTTTAAGGGCAATTTTGACATTTTTAAAAATGTTGAATTGCACATGAGGTCATGTGATATAGATAACTGACGTCCATTAATGGTAGGTATTAGATTGTCCCAAAATGAAAGTTCAGATCATTTTAAAGTTTGGGTACTGGCACTCATTCCCTAATAATAATAATAATAATAATGATGATGATGATTTTAAAACTTATCATTATAATTTAAATTTTTTTAAATATTACCTTTTATATTACTTATTATACACGTCCAAATATTAAGTTTAAGAAAACTGGTTATATCACTTAAGTGATTCAATGGTCAAGTGAGGCCATGGTTTTTGTTACCATGAGTGTTTTGTGATTTATTTCATGGCAAGTTAAGTTCCAAAGCAATTTATTCAGGTTGTTTGGGTAGGATAAACCCATAAACCCTAAAATCGGCTTGAGTGGGGGTCAATTCCAAGAATTTGGAATCAGACTCTACCCTCAAACAGATTGGGTAGGGTTGGTTCAAGGTCACTTTGAGATTGATTCCATTTGATTCTAGTAGAAACTACTCATTTGCTCAACCCTATTACATAATGGTAAATAATGACAAGGACATAGAGGTGACCAATTATAACCTAACTCAAAAGATTTGCCGATAAACCAAGTGCTCAGCCCTAGCTATTCTCGTATTGTATCTTTCCAGCATAATAAATTTATCCATAAAGTCCGCACTTTATATGAATAAATAAGGAGGAAGGTGATGCAAAATTTGCACCAGTTTCAGAGATATTTTCATTTGCTTTGCCAATGAATGCAGATGAGACAAAAAAGTGCAAACTTTTGCATCAGGCACGAGTGCAACTGTGCAAATCAAATGGATTCAAATCTGAACAGGGTGCAAATTTCTATCCGGTTCAGATTTGCATGACAAACAAACAGAACCTTGAGAAATAGAATAATAATTATCGAATATCACCTTTATTAGTGTATTAATTAATTGATTCTCACAAATTTGTCACAGTTTTACCTCAAAATAAATCACATTAAGGTTATAATTATTATGACATTTTATCTTTTTTCCTGGCAATTATATATTCAAATAATTTTTTAGTTTTTCCTGGCAATCATGGTGTTCAAATACTATGAAAACAAAATGAAATGATTTAAATATCATGCAGCTTCCAGATGCCCCTTAAAGAAATTGTCATTTTCTTGTCATGCTTCTACTTTCTAGTAGCAAAAGGCATGCCCTTTTGTGTGTTAGAGATGGTTCCAAGGGTGGGTGAGAAAACTGAGAACAATCTCCAATTCCTTCACTTTTCTAGTCCCAAAATTGGGCACTGGAAACATGTGAGCAACCAACAAAATATTGAAAATAGAGAAGATAAGGAATATATAGGAAAGCTGTTGGTTAGTTATAGTTGAATCACCTTATTATAGACTTAAATATACCACTCCTATAGAGTAGATTTTGAGTCTCTACCTTTGATTTCTTTGTTTCTGCCATGGAAATTGGGAGAGAAGAAGAAGGTGAAGCCATGGCGTTGTCTCCCCCAACTGTGGGAATCATGCAGATAACTGGGAGCAGTGGCTTTAGTCATAACATGGAGTTCATGTCCCCATCACATTCAACAAACATTAACTCAGAGATAGAGATACATGTTGAGTATTTGAGCACCACCAAGGATCGCCCACTTCCAATATATCTCAAGGTATTATTCCATTTTTATATTCCAATTGCCTTGTTTTTCTTTTGGGTGGCTGATTAAGGCTCTGTTTGGATAAGGTTTTACTTTTGAGCTTTGGGCTGTAGAAAATAAAATTTTGGTAAGGATTACTTTTAAAAGCATTATAATGTAAAGCCAATATACTTCTATGCCCCAAACCACAAAGCTTGTTGGGGCTCTGAAAGCACAAATCCTAAAGCTTATGCAAATGCAACCTTAAGTCTGCAATTAACACAAAGTGCACCATGGAAAAAAAAATGACACTTCAACCCATTTAACCACAAACTTCACTTCACCCTATCAAAGATGATCCTATAAAACCTTCTCTTTTCCTGTTAATTCATTCTTACATGGCATCAAGGGCTGCATTTTGTGCCTAGCATGCAACGAAACCAATATGTGTTTAAACACTGTTTCAAGCATTATTTAGTTCATGTGTGGAAGCATGCAACTACCCTTACCAAAAGATAAATAAACATGGGAATAACTGAGATTAGACCACAGTTCCCAGAAGCAAGCTTCAAGTGTGTGTGTGTACAAATACAATATAAATTTTATAGTACATAAATATATTGTCACAGTACCAGTACTGCAAAAGAACCATAGGCTGTAAATGTTGCAAATGGAGAATGGAAATACTGCATTTTGTCTATGCAAGATTGACAGGTTCCGTCTACAGTAGTCATGTATTGCAACATGTAAAGCCCAAGTGTATAAGATACAGCCCTATGGTATTTTGGCCATACTGGTTTCAGGAAACATGTTTCTACATAGAATTGCTCTTATTTAAAATATGGTTTATATGAAGATATGTTTGTCTAATAAGGAATTTTCTTTTCCTTTTTTATTATTATGCAGTTTGAAGATGTGGAATATAAGGTAAAAGACAGGCACACTTCCTCCAGAAACCCTGTGAAGGCACACTTGAAGGTGTGGAATATAAGGTAAAAAACAGGCACACTTCCTCCAGAAACCCAGTGAAGGCTATGATGTCTCAGTTGAACTTGGATCAAGAGAACTACAAGCACATTTTGAAGGGTGTAACAGGAAGCATAGGCCCTGGAGAAGTCCTTGCTTTGATGGGACCTTCAGGTAGCGGAAAGACAACATTACTCCAGATAATAGGAGGAAGATTGCATGAAAATGTTAAAGGGAGCATCACTTACAATGACATTCCATATAACCCGGCTCTTAAGAGGAGGTTAGCCAAATTAGAAATCTTGTCGCAGCTCAGGTCAATGATTTAATCTATTTTTCATGTGTATTAGTTTAATTCCAACCTTTGGGGTCTGTCCCAAATGAACTGATCCAGCTCAACTCTATCAGTTTAACTTAATCAATCACTGTACTATATATATATTCACCATAATCTTTTATATGAAGACTGTTTTTTTATATAATACTGGAGAACACTTGAATTTACAGGATTGGATTTGTAACCCAAGATGATGTTCTCTTCCCTCAATTAACAGTGGAAGAAACCTTGGTTTTTGCTGCATTTCTCAGACTTCCTAGCAACATGAGCCAACAACAGAAGTTTGCAAGAGTAGATATGATTGTGAAGGAACTAGGCCTTGAGAGGTTTGTATGAGGTTTCTAATGCAATTAGATCTAAATTTCTCCATTGAAAATTTGTGATGAACACTCATGTTATAAGGTCTAAGATTAATTAGATGAAAATGAGGCTTGAATGTGTATGAWGTGATTTACATGATTACAAGTTATAATGAGTAACTGTGATTGCCCTCTCTTTTTCATCATAKATGTCGCCATACWAGRATAGGAGGAGCATTTGTGAAAGGAATATCTGGAGGCGAAAGGAAAAGGACTAGTATTGGTTATGAAATTCTTGTGGATCCCTCATTGTTGTTGCTTGATGAACCCACTTCAGGCCTTGATTCCACCTCTGCAAATAAGCTTCTTCATATTCTTCAAGGAATTGCTAAGGTAACATTTTCTCTTTCATACTTCCTAGCACTGAAGCTTGCTAGAGAGGAGGATGACTATTCTAATGGTTGCACTCAATGGGTCCATAGGCAGGAAGGACAATTATCATTACAATTCATCAACCTTCAAGTAGAATGTTCCACATGTTCAACAAGATTTTGCTCATATCAGAGGGATGTCCTGTGTATTATGGGAACGCTAGAGAATCCATGGAGTACTTCTCATCATTGAGGTTTGYACCTCAGATAGCCATGAACCCTGCAGAGTTCTTGTTAGACTTGGCAACTGGGCAAGTTAATGACATAAGTGTCCCAGAAGACTTGGTGATGCTTCAAGGAACTCCTGAATTTGAGAGAGACGTGGTTAAAGTAAGTTCAGTTTCTATAATATTTGGTTTTTCATTTCCATTTTATGAGTTACAACAGCAGTGACTAAAGGACATTAATGTTGCTTATCTTGTGATGAAATATCAATCTATCAGTATGTACAATTGAAGTACAAAGTCTGGGTGGAACCTAAAGAAAAAGCAGAGAACCATGGCATGGTGAAGATACCACAACACCTTCAGTTAGCTGTTCAAGTTAAGAAGGATTGGACCATGAGTTGGTGGGAGCAGTTCATGATATTATCAAGGAGAACATTTAGAGAGAGATACAGAGGTTACTTTGACAAGCTAAGGTTTGTGCAGTCCCTTGGAGTTGCAGTCTTATTAGGCCTTCTGTGGTGGAAATCCAAAACTGGAACTGAAGCACAACTAAGAGATCAGGTATTGTTGTTCCAGGACTTCTTAGTCATCTGGTTTTGATGCTTTGGGGCAAGCCTACTGGCTGAAATTTGGACTTGTTTCTAACCACTACCATTTTAGTTTAACTGTACTTATCTGAGAAGTTTATGCCTTCATCTCAGGTTGGTCTGATGTTCTACATCTGCATTTTCTGGACATCATCGTCAATATTTGGAGCAGTGTATGTCTTCCCATTTGAGAAGATATACTTGGTAAAAGAAAGGAAAGCAGACATGTATAGACTAAGTGTGTACTATGCATGTAGCACGCTGTGTGACATGGTGGTTCATATTTTGTATCCTACATTCTTCATGCTCATTTTATATTTCATGGCTGACTTCAAGAGAACAGTCCCTTGCTTCTTCATGACAATATTCTCTCAGTACTATTGATTGTAGTATAACAAGCCAAGTAAGTAGAGAACCTACAAATAATTTAACTGGRTCATCATCTGTCAAGTCAACAACTAATCTGATCTAATTCTGTACTTAGGGAGCAGGGGAACTCGTTGCTGATGCTGTTTTAAGCATCAAAAGAGCTGGGATGATTGCCTCTTTGGTCCTAATGTTGTTTCTCCTCACTGGAGGTTACTATGTCCAGGTATTCAATCATACTTGTTTAAATATACCATTCTGATTCTTATTAGGTCAGTTAAAAAATTCCATTATTACTGTTGTTTTCCATTTATTTCATCCATGCCCTTACAAAAACTTTGGACCTAACAATGAAAATTCATTTCTATCTTGGCCTACTGAAACCCTAAAGGTTAAAAAAAATCATCCCCCATTCCTTAAATGCCTAAGGGCCAATTCCTTCCATGCTTTCTATTTTATTTGTTATTCTTTTTTGCAGCACATACCAGCATTTATGCAGTGGTTGAAGTATATATCCTTCATGTACTATGGATTTCGTCTTCTATTAAAAGTGCAATACTCTGGAGACCAATTATATGAATGTGGAAACAAAGGTGGATGCCGAAGCTTACAGAGTTCACCCACATTTGATACAGTAAACTTGAATGGTGGCTTGAAAGAAGTCTGGGTTCTACTAGCAATGGCACTGGCTTATCGTTTATGTGCTTATGTTTGCCTTCGCAGAAGAATAAACATGTGTTATCTTTGATAGATTATTACATGAAACAGACTGATGTTTGAACTATTTGTGTGCTTATTTGTATCAGCAACAGTAAATGAAAATTTCCTTAACAGAGAAATATAGAAAAACAATGTTCCAAATAAGGGAACAAATACAACAGCACCAGGCCCCCAAAACCAGAATTCCCTTGTTATCTTTCTTATTGTTTAACTGTTCAGATTTATTAAGAAATGTATAAAGAATAGGTTTGATTACAAAGGAAAATTTGCCTAGAACCTGTAAAGATACAGACCAGCACTGATGGCTAACCCAAAGTTCCAATTTTTACATTCCTGCAACTCCAACCCTTCTGCTCACTTCCTGCCTAGCTAATGCATGTCATGCTATTCATTGTTCTCAAAGTCCATGCGAAAAATACTCTTAATTCCCTAGCTAAACTTTCTACTTCCCACAATATATGTCTAACTGCCATGTCCCAATGTTGTCGTTTTTGAGCCAGCCAATTATCCCTTGCTAACCCTTCTGCACTGCTATTGGCCGCTTTTGGAGTCTATCAGAAGGAGCAGTTCAGGTTTACACTCAAGGGGATAAGGTGCAAAAAAGGTCAGTTCTGTAAGGAGTTTCAGAAAAGACTACTATTTGTTTGCTTACAGGCTACCATATCTAGTATCTAGACTTGGCTTACTCATTGAAATGTCCAATGAAAGAAGCATGAGCTTAAAATGACACATCTTCTATGTGCTCCACAAATACGGTAAATCTTCCATCTCATAAGGTCTTTGTTTTCCTGTCATGCACTTCTTTATTGGAAGGTGGAACTTCCATTTGGGTTAAGGTGTCAGAAAACTATAGTTGAGAAGACCTTAAATTAATCAGCTTTTGTTTGAGGAAGACTTTAAGAGTTTTCCATGATGCACTTAGATATTTGTCTCCTAACCTAAACTGCACGTAATCACGTAAGACTAAAACCTATAACCATAAACTAATTACATATTCAAATGTTGCAAAAATCTAAAGCCCATCTATACATTACCAGATCATATATTCTTTAGAAGCCAAACTAAATACAAGTCCTTTATCATAATTCCATTGGATCCATGTTGTCAATGGGTCAAAGAAGACCGGAATCATCCTCTTTCAAGGACTCCCACAGTCTCTAATCAGCATAATCTCTCTCTATTTCCTTCCTCTTCATCATATCGTCTTCTCCTTCATCTTGGTGGTTTTCTTGGGTTCAAAACTCCTGCCAGTACCAAAAGTTACTTATTTCTTTTCTTTCTTTAATTTTGTGTTTGGTTTGATAAAAAATAAGAGAGAAACATAAAGTTGAAGGAAAGTTATTAAAGAATTTCACAAAATTTGTTAAGAACTTTCCCTCAACTTTCTGTTTCTGTCTAATTTTCTGTCAAACCAAGCATAGCCTAAGGGTGAATATTTCAGGAATTTCTTTGGGTTATTCTCTGAGCTGAAAGAACTGCTCTAATTAAAAGCATATAGAAGATCTTTGCATGAGTTCTGTGTTTAATTCAGATTATCTGAACGTGATGGCTGTGGAACCAATGATAACACCCCACACCAGTCAAAAATTGCTTGGGGCCCACAGTGAAAAGTTGAGTCGTTGTGGGCTCCATATGACTGATGTGGGGCATTATCATTGGTTCCACAGCCTGTTGAACAGCTATTGCGTTCAGCTAATGCTATCTCTTCTGTGCTATCATGATGGTAAAAATGTTCCATGGACAACCTATCCGACTTTTCATGTTGACTATGATCAAGGACAGTGTTACTTTTCCTTTTTCTTAGAGTTATAGGTTATAAGCAATAATTGTTAACAAAATCACGCCTGCCCCAACTTTATCAAACTAAGTTTTGATGGGTAGAATTCAGGGAACCAGGTAATTCAGGTATAGAGGGAGTATCTAGAAAATGTGAGCAGAGATATGCTGGACCCATGGATCCATTGGCATTGGTGACTTGACTTGGGAAGGTAGAACTATTGACAATTCTACAAGGACTGAAACTAGTTAAAGCTCTAAATTTCAGGCATTTAAAAGTGGAAGGAGATTAAACCAGATTAAGAACTGAGTACAAGTTAAACTTTGGGTCCCAAGATCTGCTAACAGTTTGGCAGATGGGTTAGATAAGCAAAATAAGGAGAAACTAGAGCTCAGTTATATTGGGGTTTGATTTCCCAGGGTAGGAACTTGAGAGGGGTGGCTAGAAAGAGCTAGGGTAACCTAAGGGGTGCTAGGCAGAATGTATAGCATTCTTTTCATATATAATTGACAAAGTTTCAATTGTTATTGATCAAAAACATAACTGTTAATAATGGTTTTAAAGAGTAGAGAGCCCTGTAAGTTTGTTACACCACCTGTATGTTTGGTAGTGGTAGCGAATTCTATTCTGGAAGCATTCCCAATAATACAAAGTACAAACATGATCCAAGGACAACATACCATTACCAATAAATGGTAAAAATTTCAGTCTTACAGAGAATACAACTGACATTACCATGATCTGTGTTGCAATACCCAAGACTATTACTCTTCAAGATATCCTTGAACACTGAAACTCAATTTTAGCATACATAGCATCCCAGGATATTCCAAAACCCTTGCCCTGAAATCCATTTATAACAGCATCCAATCATAATCCTTCTCCTGAAGTAGCTGATACTGTTTTTGTTACTGAATCTCATTCAAAAACCCATAACCATAATCTAAGTTACATATTCAAATGCTGAAGAAAAAAAAAAAAGAACAAACTCAAAGCCAGCCAATATATTACCAAATACCAGTTTAAATATCATTTAAAAGGCAAACTAAACACTAGTCTTTATCATAACCCCATTGAATTCATATGCTAGAAACACAATAAGTATGGATTACAGGTAATTAAATACAACAAATTGAAGCATACGAGCTTTGGGAAAATTCTACGAAAACCTTTGTTGGGATTGCAGAGTTCGAGGCTGGAGGTTTGAATTTGATATGGGTGGACTGATTTCTGACAACACCATTAAGAACATGTTTCAAGAGAAAGAGAAGATAACTTCAAGAATGACCAATCAATAATAACCCGATTAATGCATCCAAACAGAAGGAAAAAGGAGATTCTTTTAAACAGAAATCCCCAACATCTTTACCAGGTTACATCCAGTAGAATCAATCTCAGTAAATTAGTGTGGATGAGAGCCAGAGAGAGAAGTGTGGCTGCAATTCACGGCGGGTAGAGTGTGGATAGAAAAAGTGAATAGGAAATCCGATTTGTTCAGAGCGGGGCGGAGTTCCATAAACGTGTGTGGATCCACAGTTAACGGTTCAAGCCGATTTACGCGGGTTAGGTTAAGGTGCTCTTTCTAAATCCTACGTCAAGGATGATTAGGAATGGATGGGTTCAATCAAATCCAACCCGTAAAACCTTACTCGTACTACAACCGGTTTGCCCCCTCACAGAGGGAAAGGGCGGGGCGGGGCAAGAATTTTTTTTAGTTTTTCCTTTGTTTTAGGGGTGCAAACGGATTGGATCATGATGATCCGGCCCTATCCAATTTTACCAAATTCGGATACCCCTTACTAGACTTTGACCGGTTAGAGTTCACAAAATAGGATCCATTTTGAAATATTGGATCGGATTCGGATCACCTTATCGAATCTGAAAAGATCTGATCCGGCATTTGTATATAATCAAATTTGATCCTTATCGAATATGAAAAGATGAGATCATATTGGATTTCTATCTGATTGGATTCAGATATGCCTCGATTCAAATCCGATCAGATCGATTTAAAGCAGGAACACCACCCACTTGCTTATGCATTGTGTTCTTTTTTGGGCTTTTTACATAAAAAAAAAATGATGAAGTATGGTCATTTGGCTATTTTTGATTTGAAGGAAAAAGTAGGGAAAGGAAGAGAAATGTAGGGAAACCTTACATTACGCTTGCCAGTTCAAAATACCGACTTGGAATTGATTGAGGCTGCAGGGGAGGTTTCAGACGCTTTTGATTTTTGGGTAGCAACAACTTCCGTGGAATACTAGTAGGAGATTGGGAGAAATGAAACGAGCTCAAATGGATCTCACCGTTCAGCAGAGGATGTAAACTCCGATGAACACTGCAACGTACTCTAATGCAATTTTGGCCTAAGAACAATTGATAAACAGGGGTTTCAAATGAGCTTTTATCACGGATTGTCTACCTTCGAACTAAATGATGATCAAACGCTACTCTGGTTGGCGACGTGAAAACTAGGAGTAGGGAGGCCAAAGTAGAGAATCTTCTTCGCCATTTCACTACTGTGACGTGGAGGTTGAAGGCGATACAGTCATCCTCAGCCGGTTTCAGATCTGGACTTCTATTATAGTGATTCCCCTTCGCTTATTCTTCAGAGAGAGACTGAGAGAACGGTTTGGAAGAAGACTGTCGCTGCCAGAAGTTGCAGTGGCAACGGTTAGTTAACCAAAGTGGTCGTGAAAAATAGGGGAAGGGAGTAAGGAAGAGATGTTAGGATATTTGGTGACTAAAGTCAATTTGACTTAGTCCATCTTAGTTGTTACTTCTGTTAATAATTTCCTGGTTTGAAGGATTTTATTTTAGCTTAGATTCCTGTAATAGATTGACCACGTCTTTAGGCTCTGTTTTCGCAATTCTGTTTTTGTAAGGCTTGTATAAAGCCACAGTATCTTTCATTCAATAAACGGGCTTTTGAGCTTCCAGTTATTTGTATTTTCTGTTTAAAGCTTGAGAGTTCAACAATCTGGTATCAGAGCCTGGTTGAGAGAAGTTAGGAACTGCAGTATCCTAACAAGAGAGAAGAGTGAAACACTTGGTGAGAACGAGTGGAACACCTTGCGATGGCAACAGATAAATACGTCCAAGCAGCTATTCCTCAGTTTGATGGTCACTACGACCATTGGGCTATGCGCATGGAGAATCTTCTCCGATCCAAACAGTATTGGCACTTGGTAGAATCAGGAATTCCTACAATAGAAGATGGAGCTATGCAAACAGAGGCACAAAAGGAAACAATGGAGACGCTGTGACTCACGGACCTAAAGGTGAAAAATTATCTTTTTCAGGCTATTGATCGCACTATCATGGAGACAATCCTTGACAAAGGGAGTTCAAAGAGCATATGGGACTCTATGAAACAAAAATACCAGGGGTCAACATGAGTCAAGAGAGCTCAATTGCAAGCTTTGAGAAGAGAATTTGAGGTGTTGCAGATGAAAGAAGGGGAGACGGTGGACGAATACTTTGCTCGGACACTGACTACTGTTAATAAGATGAAATTTCATGGAGAAAAGATGGAGCATATCATAATCATTGAAAAGATTTTGAGATCGATGACTTCCAGATTTGATTATGTGGTATGTTCGATAGAGGAGTCTAATGATTTGAGCAAACTTACCATAGATGAGCTTCAAAATAGCTTACTTGTTCATGAACTAAGAATGTACAGTCATAACAGAGGTGATGAACAAGCTTTGAATGTCTCATATGAAGGAGGAAGAGGCAGAGGCAGAGGTGGTCGGAGTGCATCTCGAGGTCGTGGAAGAGGTCGAGGCAGACAGGGATTTAACAAAGCTTTTGTGGAGTGCTACAAGTGCCACAACCTAGGACACTTCCAATACGAATGTCCTAATTGGGAAAAAGGAGCTTATTATGCCGAGTTAGATGAAGAAATGTTGCTGATGGCTCAAATGGATCTTCACAACTTTAAGACAGGAACAATGTGGTTCTTGGACTCCGGTTGCAGCAACCATATGACTGGAGATAAGCAATGGTTTCTCCATCTAGATGAGTCTTTTAGGCAGGTTATGAAACTCGGCAATAACACCAAAATGGCAGTAATGGGGAAGGGAAGCATCAAGCTGCGAGTCAATGGCACAAGTCAGGTAATTACTGAAGTATTTTATTGTCCTAAGCTTAAAAATAATCTTCTTAGTATTGGTCAGCTGCGGGAACGCAATCTAGCTATTCTAATACAGCATGGAGAATGCAAGATTTATCATCATGAACGAGGGTTGATTATGCAGACTCAAATGTCTGTTAATCGGATGTTTATTCTTCTTGCTGAAATTGGAACACAAGTAGACCAAGCTCAAGTTCCTGTCCCTGCATGCTTTAAGATCACATCCGAAGATCAAACTGACTTGTGGCACCGTAGATTTGGGCACTTAAATTTCAAGGGCTTAAGAACCCTATCCTACAAGCAGATGGTGACGAGCATGCCTCCTCTCAATAGTTCATCTGCAGTATGCACAGTATGTATGATAGGCAAGCAACATTGAGAAACCATTCCTACAAGGAGTTTGTGGAGAGCTACAAAGAAGTTGCAACTCGTACATGCCGACATCTGTGGTCCCATCACACCTGAATCAAACAGCCATAAAAGGTACATACATTTATTGATGATTATAGCAGAAAGCTATGGACTTATTTTTTGAATCTAAAGTCAGAAGCATTTATTGTATTCAAAAAATTCAAGAGTCTAGTAGAAAAAAAAACTAGAAATGTTATATGTTGTCTTCGAACTGACTGGGGTGGAGAGTTCACCTCACTTGAATTCAATGAGTATTGCAGCTCAAATGGTATTGCTAGACAACTCACCGTAGCCTACACCCCACAACAAAATGGGGTCGCAGAGCGGAAGAATCAAACGATCATGAACATGGTACGATGCATGTTGACGGAGAAGCTCGTCCCTAAAGAATTCTGGCCGGAAGCTGTCAATTGGGTTGTTTACTTGTTCAACCGATGTCCTACTCTTGCTATAAAAGATAAGACACCAAAGGAAGCTTGGTCTGGCTTCAAACCTTCAGTGGCGCACTTTAAGGTGTTTGGATGCATTGGACATGTGCATATCCCCGACAACAATACACAGAAGCTTGATGATAAAAGTCTCCAGTGTGTCTTCTTAGGCTTAAGCCAGGAATCTAAAGCCTATAGGATGTATGATCCTGTGTCAAAAAGGATAATTATAAGCAGAGATGTGTTTGAAGAGGACAAGAAGTGGAAATGGAGTAAAACAACTAAAGGAGCTAGTTGTGCGGGTCTTGAATGGGGAGATGAAGATGGGTCACAAGAGCATGATGCAGAACATGTACATGAAGAAGAAGAGCAGGTTGTTGATGGTGCTACTGGGTCTGGTTCGTCATCAAATGAAGAAGCTGAAAACAACCCTTCAAGTCCAGTTCAAGGGAGGGTTAGAAGGGCACCAACGTGGATGGAAGATTATGCAAGTGGTGAGGGATTATCTGAAGAAGAAGACAATAATTTCATGATGCTTACTGCCTCTAGTGATCCTGTGTCTTTCGAAGACGCTGTCAACAGCCAGAAGTGGCGAGAGGCAATGGACTTGGAAATCAAAGCCATTGAGAAGAATGGAACTTGGGAATTGACCACACTTCCAGTTGGAGCAAAAAAAATAGGAGTAAAATGGGTATTTAAGACCAAGCTAAACGAGAATGGGGAAGTAGACAAATACAAAGCAAGGCTCGTGGCCAAGGGATACTCGTAGCAGTTTGGGATCGACTACATTGAAGTTTTTGCACCTGTAGCTCGTTGGGATACCATTCAAATGATTCTAACCCTTGCTGCTTGCAAAGGTTGGAATGTGTACCAGCTCGATGTGAAGAGCGCTTTCTTGCATGGGGACTTGAATGAAGCAGTACTTATTGGGCAACCTCAAGGCTATGAAGTAAAGGGAGAAGAAGGCAAGGTTTATAGACTCAAGAAGGCCCTATATGGACTCAAACAAGCTCCTCGAGCTTGGTACAACAAAATTGAGTCCTATTTCATGAAAGAAGGTTTCGAAAGGTGCCCAAATGAACATACCTTATTTACAAAGGCAAAAGGAGGGAAATTGCTTATAGTAAGTGTGTATGTTGATGATTTTATCTTCACAGGGAATGATGAAACAATGTTTGAAAAGTTCAAGAATTCTATGAAACAAGAGTTCGACATGTCTGATCTTGGAAAAATGAAATACTTTCTCGGTGTGGTGGTGCAAGACAGCGAAGGAATTTTTATCAACCAAAAGAAATATGCTAATGAAGTGCTCGAAAGATTTGGCATGAAAAATAGTAATCCAGTAAAAAACCCAATTGTTCCAGATTTTAAACTTGTAAAGGATGAAGGTGGCGCTGGTGTTGATGCAACTGCTTACAAACAAATGGTGGGTAGTCTCATGTATATGATTGCCACTAGACCCGACTTAGCTTATGTGGT